CTTCCAACTCTAATAGTGGTTGCTTGCAGCCTTGTTGGAAGCGAAGATGTTAAAAAAAAAAGGATGGTAGGAGAAATTGTGGTTATAACCAGAGTTTCGAAGTGCTTCATTATAAATAGATACAGATAAACATTTCTTCGCTACAAGAATATCTGGTCAATCTTATTTTAATATTGGAAATTGAGCGACTATTGATCTATTTTTGTCTATTTCTCTCAACTCATTTTTTCCAACTCGAAGAGTATTATTTATTTTACTTACAACTTGTAATTGACAAATTGTTCTTGAATATTTAGTTTTTTTTAAGAAATTCGCGAACATTGTGGTCACTTTTTTCCCAAGTTTCAATAACTTCCTTTTCAATCCCAACAAATATCTGTATATATTTATATATATACAGATATATATTTTTATATATACATACACACTTATAAAAAGATTTTATTTTACGGATTTTCTAACAGCAAAAATGGATTCAAGTGAGACCAAAAATTGTGAGTCAAATTTTTTTTAACTTTTTTTAAATTAATAATTCTTCACTTTTTTTAAATTAATTTATAATTCTTCACTTGACAATGAATCAGATCTTGATCTAAATTATTTTAATGGAGCTGGAAAAAAAGTAAATTATTTTAATGGAGCTGGAAAAAAAGTAAATTATTTTAATGGAGCTGGAAAAAAAGTAAATTATTTTAATGGAGCTGTGAAAAAAAAGTAAATTATTTTAATGGAGCTGGAAAAAAAGTAAATTATTTTAATGGAGCTGAAAAAAAAGTAAATTATTTTAATGGAGCTGGAAAAAAAGTAAATTATTTTAATGGAGCTGGAAAAAAAGTAAATTATTTTAATGGAGCTGGAAAAAAAGTAAATTATTTTAATGGAGCTGGAAAAAAAGTAAATTATTTTAATGGAGCTGGAAAAAAAGTAAATTATTTTAATGGAGCTGGAACCTTGCAAAGTAAATTATTTTAATGAAGCTGGAACCTTGCAAAGTAAATTATTTTAATGGAGCTTGAAAAAAAGTAAATTATTTTAATGGAGCTGGAAAAAAAGTAAATTATTTTAATGGAGCTGGAAAAAAAGTAAATTATTTTAATGGAGTTGGAAAAAAAGTAAATTATTTTAATGGAGCTGGAAAAAAAGTAAATTATTTTAATGGAGCTAAAAAAAAAGTAAATTATTTTAATGGAGCTGGAAAAAAAGTAAATTATTTTAATGGAGCTGGAAAAAAAGTAAATTATTTTAATGGAGTTGGAAAAAAAGTAAATTATTTTAATGGAGCTGGAAAAAAAGTAAATTATTTTAATGGAGCTGAAAAAAAAGTAAATTATTTTAATGGAGCTGGAAAAAAAGTAAATTATTTTAATGGAGCTGGAAAAAAAGTAAATTATTTTAATGGAGCTGGAAAAAAAGTAAATTATTTTAATGGAGCTGAAAAAAGTAAATTATTTCAATGGAGCTGGAAAAAAAGTAAATTATTTTAATGGAGCTGTGAAAAAAAAGTAAATTATTTTAATGGAGCTGGAAAAAAAGTAAATTATTTTAATGGAGCTGGAAAAAAAGTAAATTATTTTAATGGAGCTGAAAAATAAGTAAATTATTTTAATGGAGCTGGAAAAAAAGTAAATTATTTTAATGGAGCTGGAAAAAAAGTAAATTATTTTAATGGAGCTGGAAAAAAAGTAAATTATTTTAATGGAGCTGAAAAAAAAGTAAATTATTTTAATGGAGCTGGAAAAAAAGTAAATTATTTTAATGGAGCTGGAAAAAAAAGAAATTATTTTAATGGAGCTGGAAAAAAAGTAAATTATTTTAATGGAGCTGGAAAAAATGTAAATTATTTTAATGGAGTTGGAAAAAAAGTAAATTATTTTAATGGAGCTGGAAAAAAAGTAAATTATTTTAATGGAGCTGAAAAAAAAGTAAATTATTTTAATGGAGCTGGAAAAAAAGTAAATTATTTTAATGGAGCTGGAAAAAAAGTAAATTATTTTAATGGAGCTGGAAAAAAAGTAAATTATTTTAATGGAGCTGAAAAAAGTAAATTATTTCAATGGAGCTGGAAAAAAAATAAATTATTTTAATGGAGCTGTGAAAAAAAAGTAAATTATTTTAATGGAGCTGGAAAAAAAGTAAATTATTTTAATGGAGCTGAAAAATAAGTAAATTATTTTAATGGAGCTGGAAAAAAAGTAAATTATTTTAATGGAGCTGGAAAAAAAGTAAATTATTTTAATGGAGCTGGAAAAAAAGTAAATTATTTTAATGGAGCTGAAAAAAAAGTAAATTATTTTAATGGAGCTGGAAAAAAAGTAAATTATTTTAATGGAGCTGGAAAAAAAGGAAATTATTTTAATGGAGCTGGAAAAAAAGTAAATTATTTTAATGGAGCTGGAAAAAAAGTAAATTATTTTAATGGAGCTGGAAAAAAAGTAAATTATTTTAATGGAGCTGTGAAAAAAAAGTAAATTATTTTAATGGAGCTGGAAAAAAAGTAAAT